CTGCGTCATACTTAAAGTGAAAAATATTTGGGTGCCACATACCACTTTGGGGGCTGTTTTTAAGCAAGTTTTAAATTGATATAGCTGTCTCGTTACGTTTTTCAACAGAAATTTAATTAAAAAGAAAACTGCTCTAGTTTAAAACTTTCGTTATAGTCGGTGGTTAATTAAAAAACCGACTGCTTCAACAAGCGAGATAGAACAAAAAACTTTTTAGTCCTACTCTCCTGGTTCATACTGACAAGCAATAACACCAGCAATTGTGTAAAAAAAAATAAAAACACTTGTCTTAAACAAGCAGTTGGTAACTCAAATAGAAGTTAGTCACTTGTCTCGTAATCAATCTGATCGTCTATGTTTTTGTTTGTTAAGCTTTAAGAAAACACTTAAATTATTAATTATTCTATATGTTAGTCACAGTAAAACCCTTTCTTCATCATTTTTCAAAGTTTACAAAAATATAGCCAATAAAATGGCCACAGTTACAAGTGAGAAGAAAAAAAAACGAACATTATTTTATTGTTAGTGCAGTTTCCATTCATACAGTTGAAATTATGATACATGGATAGAAATCAGCTGGTGTTGTACATTTGTTGTTTAATGTGATCATTTCTGCTGTAACAACAAAAGCGCCCTAAATTGTTTCATAGTCCTTCATACTCTCTTTTCTGCTTTAATACTTTGAAAACATTAAAGACTAAATTTAAAATAACTTTCCTCGTAAGTTTAATAAAAAGGAAGCCCACGTTTTTATTTTTAATTGGAATTCACAAAAAAGGACAATAATCTCAAACGATTATTCTTTATTTTAGAATAGATACACACTTCAAGGAACAGAGAGAAATTTCCCAATATTTAGGGATGTCATCCCTTTTTTTTTTTTAGGAGGGGGGGACAAAGATTTTTTTTTCCAGAGAAAACTAAAGACTTAAAATTCGAAATACGAGACGAAGCAAAAAAAGATTCGCGATTTTTATCTCTTCATTTTTAAACGCTGATGTTTGTTCATTTTTATGGAGTTTTAAATTTATCATTAAATTTAAAAGCTTAACTGCATTATTTTCCGAAAGCATTTTTATTCAGGTTCTTTTCATAGGAAAGAAATGTCAATTGCCTAAAAGTACGAAACATTTTGGTCCCCAATATGCTGTCGCGTATTTATTTTTCTATTTTCTTTATTATTAATCTCACAAACAAAACTCTTTTCTCAATTATTAAATTTCCATTTAAATTTTTACAACGTAGCAGTCTTTTTTATACTAATTTCACGTTTACGAAGTATTTTTTCTAGAAAAACTGTTTGGATTTTCACGATAAAAATGCGATTCTAAAAAAATAACAAAAGGAAAAACTCCAAAAATGTTAATAAAAATGTAAGAAGAGGCAGACTATAAAAGAAATTCGGTGGCGAGATGAATTGATTAATTTAAATTAAAATCAACAATAAAAACATTTTCGATAAGAAAGCCATTTTAAAAATATTAATTAAAAAAAAATAACTATCCTTGGCTCTCTACAAAACATTTAATTTACCCACATCTTGTAAAATGTATGTAAATAAAAACATTAAAAAAATTAAAAATGTACATAAAATAAACTTTTTAGTGGCTTACAATCCCATTTTATTCATTTATTTAAAAAAAATTAAAAGGTGTGACTTGCTACAAAAACTGAATAATTCTATATTTGAATGGAAAGTTACAAAATAATCCAAAATGTCATCTTACGTAAACAAAAACAAAAACAAACAAAAAAAAAGATGAAAGTTATAAACTCGTAAATTAACAGCTTTTCATTCAGTCACTCACTCAAGCAAGAGAAATTAATTTTTTAAGTCATTTAAAAAGTTACAGATTCTAAAAAAACGCTTTAAAAACAGGAATGAAATTCACGACATTCATTTCTAATTATATTTTTAATTATGAAGTCAAGTTTGAAAATGCTTGTTTGTAATAGACTAATAAATTAATAATTAAAACTACTAAAAAAAAGGATGACAACAGTACAGAATGGCCCTGTTTTTAGTTTACCAACATTTTTTGTTTTGTTTGTGTACTGACTGTACTACTAGTGACCATCACACTATTAAGAAAAGAAAAGTTTAAATTTATAAATGATGAAAGGAAAGAATATAAAATAAATTATAAATATTATAAATCTAACGAAATTTTGATATAAAAAAATAAACATTGGAGATTCTGATTTTTTTTTAAACATCAAGAAAGATAAATATTGTATCAGAGGTTTGGGTGGAAAATAATCTCACCACATAAGTAAAAAACGATTGCAAGGGTAAATAAATTCAATTATGATTCCTGTATTGACAGTATTGTACTCTACGAAACAAGTTGAAAGCCTGATTCAAACCAAATTATTAATGTTTTCTTTTTTCAACCCATAGACTGTCTGTACTAATGGATTAAAAACAAAAAATCAATCTTTAAAAAAATAAATCAGTTTCTGGATGATGCGCCCTTTTGGGTCAAGCTATTTATGCAGTAATATAATTATTTTATTTTCTATTAAAAAAATTGTGTCAATGTTAAACACGAAAAATTCAATATTTTTATGATGAAAGAAAGCGTTTTGATATTTAAAAAAAAATCATTCAAAATCTAAAAAGACTAATAGATATTACTAATTGAATGCAACTAGTAGTAGTAGTTAGTATAAAGTGCAACTAGTAGTAGTAGTAGTAGCAGCAGCAGAAAATAACCTAAATTGGCAGCACTACTATGACTAAAATAGATCATCCCGAAATAATAGTATCTTCAGCCACAGCAGTAAATTAAAGACGACTTCTTACATTGATGTATGCTAGAAAAAGTGTCATCCCAGCCTCTCCGTTCTTCTAATTTTACTTACAACTGGCATGTCCTACTGTAAACAGCTTTCATGATCGAATAATAATATTGACTATTGAGCGTTAAAGTGTGTAGGGGGGATGGGATGGCCATTAGTGTGACTATAATAAAAAAAAGCATTAACAGTAACACCAACACTTAAAGTCTGTGAGCAAATGAAGGTAGAATACCAAGATGACGTGTTTAGTACCAGACTAAAAAACGATTTATTGTGTTGAGGCAAAAATAAATAAAAACTTGCATGTAGAACAATGACGGTGATGATGATAGTAGTAGAAGGAATTATTGCATTTTTCTTGGTTTATAAAGAGAGAGAGGTGGCCGCCATAGATGTGAAAAATCAAAATATCCCCACCACCCACAATAATACAACATCTAACCCCCACCTTAGTTTGTTTCGCAATCAATTAATGCCCACTTATCATTTGCATAAACAAAAAAAGTTGCTACAAAAATTAACACCTAATAAAACAAAAAGAGAGAAGATGGAAGATGGGTTGTTGCTAGAAAACTTAAAAAGCCAAGTCTAAAACGAAAGGTGATTATTTTTCCCTTAAAGAAAAAAAAAATAATTACATAAAGTTATACATCAAACAAAAAAAGCAAAAAGAAATAGTGCTCATTAAAAAAAAGGGGGATGATGACCCTATGAACTGTAATGTTGTTTATTGTTATTATTACTTATCTACAATAGTAGTAGTACAGATACTAGTTGTTAAATGCTGTAGCAGTTTTTAGTCTTTCTTTACACACAAAGTCAGTTCTTCTTTTGCAAGCACCAAAGCCATAAAAGGAAAGACAATAATAATACATAAACTACAAATACAAAACCAAAGGTTAAGGCTTCTTCGTAAATGATTAGAAAACTACAACCAGCTTAAAGTTTGCAGATTTACTTTTTAAAGGCATTGAAATTAAAACATTTTCATAAACTATCCTTCCTTCACTAAACACAGCTGACTATATTGCAGTTTGATAAACAAAGCTAATAATGGCCATATACAGCTGTTGATAAACTGTATAACTATTAATTAAAATTAAACTTGCTTAAAGGATTTTAATGATTTATAATATAAACTTCATAAATACAGTTGAACTAAAACTAGTTTTATTTTAATGAGGGTCTAACGATAAAATTATTTAATAAACTCCAATTTTTTTGATTGTGACATAACTGAACAGACCACCATTATTTACATAAACAGAGAAATAATCTTTAAAACACATTTTGTATAAATCGACCTTTAGATGAAAATAGTTAAGAAGAAAGGGTCACATCGACTGCCATAGATACTCCCAATATAAGAAAAGGTAAAAATAAGATTTTAAAATAATAATTTCACCCCATACCCATAGTTACAGTGTCTAGTTTTGTTTTTAAGAGCTACATGGTTTTTTTAAGAGATTTATTTCCTTCCCAAGCGATAAGAAACGAATATTGAACAACAGATGGTAAGAACCAACGATCAGTCATTGCATAACTTTCATAATTTACTAAAATTATGATTATAATTTTTTTTTACCATCTCTCATATTACAAATACCCAATAAAAATAGCGATAAATTTTTTTTAAAAAACTTTATTTTGGGAAAAAAAAGTAATATTTTTCTTGTCTTCAGTACAAGTTACGACAAAACATTCACGTGAGTAAATAAAAAAACTGCTTCAAAAAAAAAAAAAAAAAAAAAGAATCTTGTAATTGTCTGAATTTTGTTTGACAGTCTTCTTTTCGTTCACCTATTTTTAAAAACACAACTACATTTTTAAAGTATGAATTTACTTTTTAAGAATACTAATTTTAAATCCAAGAGTTCTAAAACAAAAGTTATGGCTGCAATTAAAAAAAAGGCACATTCGCAATATTGTATATTTTTTACAGGTAATAAAACAAATATCGACTCAATGGTAGAAATGAGACTAAATTGAGTGTGCGGGGACAATTCAATAATAGTGGTACCACCATCACAACAATAGTGGTACCACCATCACAACAGTGTTGTTATTGAAGTCATCACAACAAAGATAAACTGAAATATTAAAGTAACTGATGGCGTCCATGCAGAAGCTGCAAGTAAAAAGAAGGGTAAGAATATGAAAAATAATAATAAAATGAACATTAAAATTGCGAAGGATACAGTTTAATCACATCGGTGTCCATACGTCTCTTGCCAGGGCTGGGAGACGACATGGCGACCACGAATCCGTGATGTGTCCCGAAATGTTCTTTCTGTACTTACTGTAGCAGGTACCTAACCTTTGTGGTACCTGGGTTTCTCAAGGAGCTGCTGTGGCAGCGAGACCCACAACAGTCTAGATGGAACTACAAGTAAGTACTTACTAGCAGACTATATATTATATGTATATAAGTAACAACAGAACTAAGTAACGTGGGCAGTTTTTTTTTTTTTTTACCTCTTTCCAAAGTGGTTGTTTAATGTTTCAATGGGTTTTAAAGCAGAGATTGCTGGTATGTAAAACTATTTAGATAGCAGTTGAGACAATGCTGCTATTATTTAAATAAAGAAACGGGTGATTTTTTTTATATTAAAGTCAACATTAATATCACTGGTAGAAAAGTAGTTAAAAAAAAAAAAAAAAAAAAAAAAAAAATAAGGTTTACTTTTTACACTTGTGCCAAATATGTTGACAGTGTAAAATTACTTTAAATTCCAAAAGTACCTGTAGCAGATTTATTTAATATTTAGAAAAAAAAAAAACAATCACAGATCCGATTTTCTTTATTAAAGATGATTTTCTAATCACTACAAAATATAATTCAAATACTGGTTTCTAGCAATTAGCTTTTCAGAGTAATAGTTGCTAAGTACTAGATTTTTTTTTATATTTCCTTGGTCAGCAGCTGGAGTCCCAAAAGTAAAACGTATAGGACAATAAATGTCGATGTCACCAAAATACAATTTACTTGAATAGCAGATTCGGATGATAACACAAACCCCTGCTAGGATATCATCAACATTATAGGCTTATGTGTGGATATTATATTTGTTTCTCTAATGAATGTTGTTGGTTGAATAATTGGTTTGTTTCTTTGGGTCAGTCTCCTCTCGTATTTTTTTAAGTCTTCTCTTCTTCTGCTAGATAAAGGACAATTTTTCTTGCTTATTTTTGTGCAGATGACTCCTTTGAGAGGCTTCAGACGAAAAAAGGCCAATGAGTCCAGGTGTAGAGATATAATGGCGAGTTTAAAAACAGTAAACTCTGTATGTATTATGTACCGTACAAAACAACAACACTACCAACAACGATGGCTACCGTCACTCTACTGCTGCTGCTATTCAGTGACGTTTGCAATCACGTGACTCCAAAATGACCACGCCTACCAAATTGTTATCTTCTCCTGACAAACCCCCGTCTCTTGATCTACTTTTTTTTTTTTTACGCCACCCTTATTAACTTTTTTTCACTTTTTTCTTTTTAATAAAAAAAATTAAATCAGTAGTAGAAAGTAGAAAGAGCATGCTTATTTTATAGAAATAGATAATGGGAATAAAAAAGGACTCGTTCACAAAGATTGTTCTTTTCCTTCTGTTGATGATGATGATGGTGGTGATGATGACGATAAAATGTAAACAATATCATAACAAATATGAAATGCTTGACGCATAAAATAAAATAATTAAAAAATAAGTAACATTTTATTAGACAAAAAAGAAACAATATTTTTGTAGCTCCCCCAAAAAGATAACAAATAACCCACAGAGATTTATCTAAATAACCCAAACGGAAATAACCGAAGAACTGTTGTTATTATTATTTTGACATCCATTCGATGGCGAGACAAGACTCCAAGTGAGTGAACAAAGAAAGAAAGAGAAAAAATAACAATTAACATTATTAGATCGGGCAACCAACATTAAAAGTGTTATTCTTCATCGCCTAAAATACTAAATTAAAAAAATAATAACAACCTATATTTTATTCGACTTTTATTTTAACGACGTGTTTGATTGTTCCGAGACATTCGCGTGTCAAAGGTCATGGACTGGTTGACACAATGATAGCGAGAGGAGAGTAAAAATTGTGGTAGTAGTGGGAGGAGTTAAAAAAATTGAAGTGGGAGGCTGTCGGAGTGGGAGGAAAGCCTATCAGCTGTTGGATGTAAACAAACCCACATGATAATAGGTCAGCCCAGTTATGGCTGACGATGTAGTATTTATACTCTCGCTATTTATGAAGAATAACAGGCATTACTAGAAAAGAATTCTCATTCATAAAGAAAGAAAAGAAAAATATTATTATAACGTATTTAAATTTCTATTATTAATTGAAGCTTCCGGGATATGTTGTCTTTAAATTTCCCATAAAACCAAAAAATGACCAGACTTCCTTACTCATTTTTTTTTAAATGCTGTAGTGAGTGTAAGAAGATTAAGAAGCCATGTGTGACAGTGTAAGTTAAAACTATCGTGTGTTGAGTGTAAACAAAAAAAAAAAAAAAAAAAAATAGACTATTGATTGCTTATTCAAAAAATGACAAGTTTTTTGTTGTTTTTTGTTTGCTTGCTTGTTTGTTTGTTTGTTTTGTTTTGTTTTTGTTGTTTCCTTTTTTCTTTTTTTACATTCCATAAGTTGACATGAAACAAACCATATTCTAATTTTTGTGTTCGCAAAAGCTCGAAAAATTTCCATGTCTTTCTTTGCGAGATTAAGGTTATGACAAATAAGTTAATTATTCTGATATACAACGCCAACAGTGATTAAGGATTGAAAAAGTCAATAATCAGCTTTGTTAAAACTCAAATTTATCGAAAGAAAATTATGATTATCACTTGTTTTGTTTTTTAATCATTTCATCCCAAGCAAAGCAATAAAGCCACTAAGAAGCATACCACATTATTACCGAGTGTTAAATTATAAAAAAAAAACACTCTTAAGGAGAGAGAACAATAAATGAGCAAGAATTAAGATAACGATTGATATCGCATTTTTAAATTTCTTACTTACACCATTCTTTGAAAATCTTTCTTTGTATGATTTTTGTGGTGTATCCGATACTTAGTTTTGTTTTGTTTAAATAATAATTCTTTTTGAAACCAGCTCAAAGATGACTAAAAAAAAAATAGACAAAACAAAAGAAAAAGATAATTTATTATTTAATTATCATTTCTTGGGAAAAAGACCAAAAAATTTTTAAACCGCGTTAACGCTGCAATTTCTATTGACAATCAAACAAAATCGATCGCATTCAAGTTTTATGATAAAAATATTTAGTAAAATAAAATTCTTAGCTTTTTTTATGGATTTTCAATCTTTGCGAGTGAAGTGATCTATTCATTTTCGATCAGTGTCAGTTTTTTAACATCAGTTTAACTCTCTTTATTTTTTTTATATGAATGAGGATTGTTTTCATTTCAAGTGTTACATTTCTTTCTTTAACTTGTTGAATAACTCGCCTGCCTGTCTCTTCGGGGAAGTGAAATCGACCTGCCATCTTTCGTTCTTTAAAACAAAAAAAAAAACACTTATTTTACAGAATCAATTATTGATAAACGAACAAAAACTTTTTACGGCGTATTATCGTCAATAGAAAACATTTAAAAACTAAATTGACAATATTGACAATTGACATTGACCGTTGGCGTTATGGAGGATATTGTGAACTTTTATTTTCTTTAATATTCTTCGTCCCCAGCTCTTTTTTTAAAATATTTTTTAAATTAAAAGAGTGGCAAAAATTAAATTGTTAGAAAACAAAAAATAATGTTTGTTTGGTTTATTATTTTTAAGAATATCTGTGTGTGTGTTTTTTTTTTTAGGTGGGGAGCATGAAAGGTTATTTAAATGTTTAAAAGAATGAAAAAAAATATTAAAAATTCTGATGTCAAAATCGTACGAGTGAAGTTTTACTTTTATTTAATTACTAGCAGTAGAGCCCGGCGTTGCCCGGGGATGTAACAGTAAGAGATAGATCAAGTATCGACCATCATAAAGACTGAAAAATAAAATTGACAAAGATTATTGTTTAAGGTTGACGGACACCCATGTTTTAATTATTATTTTTTTTTATTCTACGGATTGGTCAAACTCAAACAAAAACATTGTTTTCAATCGTTATGAGTCTATCGATTGAATAGAATTTTATTATAAACAATTGTCTTGTAAATGGAATTTTAAAGCATTCTGAATGTAAAAATAAAAAAAAAAGTGTGCAAAAGACAATAAGAAACACTACCTGCCAAAAAAAAGTGAAGTTTTGTTGAAATCGGTTGAAAAATGTAGGAAATCCGATCCCATATATAAACGAACACAGACACACACACACAAACAACCTGGGTTTTATAATAAGTATAACTCGATATGAGTTGTCCCCCTTTCATTCTCGCGACCGCGATGCCTCTTAATCGTGTTTTCAAATTGATTTCATGCAAAAACAATTGTGTTTTCCAATTTCTGGCGCTGTCAGGCAAGGTAATTTTATGTAGCCCTGTGAAGTTTTGTTGAAATCGGTTGAAAAATGTAGGAAATCCGATCCAATATATAAACGAACAGACACACACACACACACACACACACACACACACACAACCTGGGTTTTATAATAAGTATGATTAGTTTGTTCAACAACGAAATGATTGTGGACTGTAGAGTTGTTTAAAAAGTAAGTTTTACTGTAAAACCTATGATTTTTACCTGTTTTATAAAAATATATTTTTACTATTTTACAATTAATGTCAGCCTTGAATAAAAATGTTTAGTTTACTACTTTAATCGTCTCTAGGTTGTTTTTTAGTTCTTTTGAGAGAAGTGTGTTTGTATGAAGGCCAAACGGTTTATGGTAAAAATAAAAAATGTTTACACTTAAAGCTAACTGTTAAAAGATGCTAAAAAATGTTAAGAACTCATTTCAAATTTATGGAAAATTATATTTTCGTATGATTACTAACCAATGAGAGATGTGGTCTCAACTCAAGCCCTAGTAAGAATCCTAATGGGAGCCTTGTGTGATCCTCTTTTTCCAAATAAATAGAACTCAGGTCAGTAGAGAGGAAAAACACTTTTTGACAGCAAAGGGACAAGGCAAATCAACATCAATGAGCAGAAGGCATTTTGACATCAATAAGAGAGCATCAAGAAGGTGCAAAGTTACAAGCCAACTGCAGAGAGACTAAAAAGAATTTTGAAGTTCAAGAGAAAATTCTCCTGCGGTTGGACAACAAAGAACGAAAA